CCTTTGAGGCGTTGGTTCAATGCTGCAGTGAAGAGACTGAATCAACCACTAACGTTGAAATCATCGGTTGGTGCTGTTTGGTGGAAATCTAAGACAAAGTGAGGGAGAGAGAGAGAGGGAGAGAGAAAGAAAGAGAAATATTACCTATTCATGCCGGCCGGTGTCCTTGGATGTCATTTGGTGGGAGAGAGAGAGAGAGAGCGCACGAAAGAAAAAGAGGGCGGGAAGAGAATGGAAAAATGAAAGACGGAGGAAATATCCCAAATTCATGCATTATTTATTAGCGGCAGTTTTAAACGACCGCCGCTATAGAATATTATTTCTAGCGATTGTCGGCCTTTAACCCCCTTCTAAAAGCTATTTCTCATTTTTTTCTCTAGTGAAAATAGCAAATAATAGTTAAAGATCTAGGAATGTCAATACTAGTTACAACATTTGAATGAGCAAAGTTAGCTAACCAATCCGTCGCAATGTTGCCTTCTCTATAAGTATGACGATTCTCTACTTTGCCCTTTAGTCTCTCAAATGGCGACCTGCAATCCCCAATGAACGATTTCAATCTCCATGGGGGTTCAACCTGTTTCTTTAGAAAGTCAATCACAAGTTTTGAATTGGCCTCAATAGTGATGTTATTGCTTGAAAAGTTGAGGGCCACATTGTGGACTTCCCAAGTGGCTCAAGCTTCAACCACATTAATAGTGGTAACACCAATTTTTTATGCTTCAAGGCCAAGAATCTGGCCTCCATAGTTTCTAGCTATGCAAGCAATGGTACAGGTACCATTGATGCAAGAGGCGTCAAAGTCAATCTTTATAGATCCCATTTCAGGACTTTCCTATCTAACAAGGATAATAGATTTATCATAGAAGTTATTTGCATCATGCTCCATACAAGACAAGATTTCCATAAATGCATGCCAAGCTCTATCAATTATAATAGAAATGGCACATTTTTCTGTTAGACAGTTTTGTATGTCCTTAACTCCAATCAGTTTGATGTACTTATGACATTTATTGTAATTAAATAAAGTGCATATTTGATTCATATTATGTGGTGTGTTTCTGTGTAATACCCTTAAAACCGGACACTTATGAGACCTGTGTTGGTTTAGAACGTTCACAGCCAGTGGGTCGGTCTGGGGAAACCTACCCTGATAAGGCTGACACTGATGTGCCGCCAAGTCGGTTGGGGTGGCCTGTCTCTGCCACCAAGGTGAGACCCGAGGTACATGCAGTGTGGGATCAGCTTGAGACCTTGAACCGGACCAGAATTCCAGTATTGCCCTGGACCTTGGCGATTAGTGGGCGAAACTGGAATGTTACACCTGACCCCTAGACTCGATTATGGTACCGCACTAGGTGGCGGATTGGGCCATCTTTGATATGCCAATCAGTGAGACCCTTAGAGGGGGTCAAAACCTGGGTATGTTGAGACGATTCATGAACCCATTTGAATGGGTGATCATAGTGACAGGATCAGCCCCTTTGTCGGACAATGGTAATGATCGGGGAAATGCACTCTCTCTGATGGAAACCAAAGCTGCCGGCAGTTGATTTCAATCGTTGAAATTTTGTTTTGCAAAATATATTTATGCGATATAATATATATATTACAGGTTTCCAAAATTGTTTGCAAAAGGTTTTAATCCCTAGGGTCCATGTAAGAGGAGAGTGCATCACTGTACCTTGCAGTCAGGGGAGAGGTCCTCCCTTGTCGGGTAGTATTTGATCATTATGGGCTTAGAGGTTAAGTATAAGGCCTTTGAGGGTTAAACCTAATGGGCTAATCTTGCATTTGCCCACAGTCCTTGGGTGTTACAAGGTGGCTTGGCCCAAAGACCACTTAGTGTAAGTGTTGGACCCATAGAGTCCATATGATGGACTCAAGGGGTTCACTGGGCTTTCCAGTGAATTTGGCTAGGCCTTGTGACAGAGGCTGAGCCGAACCCTTGTGGCTGATGTGTAGATCAACGTTTGGGTCCCACGCCATACAGAAAAAACCCAACTAGGCAGCAATTTGGAAGGCTTAAGTGAGCACATACACTTAATGAGCCGAAAGCCCAATACGAGCTGGGCCAATTAGATTGGCTTGAATGGGGTGAATTTGAGATATGGACCAGCCTTAAAGGATAAGGGAAAGTCCCTATCCACTCAGTAAGAGTCCATATTTGAATATGATTCAAATATGGAAACTCCTTATCAAATTAGGAGGGTTGATCATGATCTGCAGATTAGATAAGGACTCTACCTTATCACTTAAAGGGATCAACATCTCCTAATAGGATTAAGAGCTGATCCCTTTAGGATTATAAAAGGAGGAGGGGGTGGCAGCCTCAACAGACACTCATCTGAGATACAGATACAACACAGAAGAGAGAAATCAACATACAGTGAGACTGTGCCAATTTCTCCCTACCGCCTCCTTCCTGTCGCCGCCGCCTTTAGCAGTTCATCTCCACTCAAGTGGGAGTCATCAAGAAGCGTTCTTGATTTCAGTTCTTTGTGAAAGAATTGAAAAGAAGTTGTGATCACCTGTCGTCCAGTGGGTTCTTGCGAAGGATCCAGTTCTTGTGAAGAACGTTGTTGATTCTGTTCCGTCCTACACTGTGCCATGTTCAGTGGGAGCAGTCTTTGGTGACTTTTCTGGGCGTGAACACCTTCGTTGGGGGATACGAATTCTCTGTATCAGGTATTTCCCTCTCCTACTGTTTTGTTCAAATCTGGTTCGGTTCTCGATTCAAGATTGATCCTTGAAAATTAGTTTTCTAAAATAGGGAATGTGATTCCCAGTTGTAGGAAGGAAAGAAATTTTTTTTGAAATTCGCCCATTCGGTTCCGCTTCACCCGGGCATCCAAACGATGGATCTTTCCATTCCTTCAGTGGTATCAGAGCCATGGCTCAAATCTTGAATCAAAATTGTTCAGATCTGAACCTGCGCAAATGGGCAGAAGGCGTTCTACCCTATTTGCGTAGATTTTGTTTTTTGGGAAATTGTTCCCATAAATTTGGGTGAATGATCTGGATTTAAATTTTACATAAATCTGAATTGTATATGGAATGGTTCTTTATAGTTTTCTTGATTTATGGGTTGTTCGTACAATGGAGATCGAAATCTTTTATTCTTGGCACGTTATCTGCGATTTGCAGATTCTTGTTTATTCTTTACATTTGATATGTAAATATTTTTTTTTCTTTATAGACTAAATGTATAGGATTCGATCTGATGTAATAATTAATAGAAAATTAGGTTTTTCTATTTCTGTATTATTTTGGATCGAAGTTGGCGGCGCTGGAAGGAGAATTCGCAGATATGAAAATCGCTATCTGCGATTTGCAGTTTATGAAACTGTAAACTATGAACTAACCTCTGTTTTGTAGGATGGAGTGAACGAACAGCCCTACTTGACTGATTTATGTTTTTTCTTTATCAGTATTTAATTTCAGATCATTAATCTTGAATTAAAAATCAAACCTAGACTAATTCGAACCAGATTTGGACCAAATCAGTTGGACCGAATCTAGGGTTCGATGGGGGCTAATTTCCGTCCTTTTTTCTCCCACTTTTGGGTTAGGGATTGATGTTTAATTGCAAGTATTAATTCGGCCCAACCTGTAAGGCCCAGTTTTAAATTGTTAAAACTGCAAAAGCCCACCATTCGCATAAAAGCTATATGGGCCGAACTGCTAACTGCTATTCAGCCCATATACCTAGATAATATTAAATGTTAATATTATGGACTTTAAATGGGCTTTACAGATGTTTAATTGTTTGGATCAATTCTTCCTACATGTGATGTATGGATGTGTGATGTGCTGCGTTCATGGGCCATAAGCACTTGGCCCATGCAGATACGATAGTGGCTCTTGCGCACATCATGGCTGAATGCACATCATTGCCATGGTGTCCCTTATGGTCATTGGATGACCTTCCCTTCGTGGTGGGCCCCACACCCTTGAAAAGTACACATGCAGAAACCCTAGCCGAATTGGGCCACTAGAAATCTGGCTTTATGAAAGCCAGTGGGAGCCACTAAGGTTTGACCTAAAACTAGGGTGTAACTTGTTCCCTCTTGAAATATGAGTGCATGTGATAGGGAGATCCATATGATGGACTCTCTAAATGCCTTCCGTCATTAGCATAAAGACGGGTCCTTCAAATGATGAGGGGAAGCACCAGAAAATGGGCCAACCGATTTGCTGTTGGATTGTTTCATATGATGATAGGGACGTCATAGATCGATGTGGGAATGGCTTCACCAAAAAATGGGAACTCTCTCACGGTACCTTGGTGTGGTCGAATATGATGGGTGAGCACTCACTGGACAGAAATGTTTACCTGTAAACGACTATGAACCTTGTCTGACAGAGGCCAAAGGGAAAGCTCATGTGATGAGTGGATATGATCCTTCACAGAAAGGTGGTGGGGTTATGCAACTGAAACAGTTGGCTCCATGCATTCTATGTGGTTTCCCACATTTCCAAGAGACGTGATTGTCATTGTCTCCGTCACTGAGATAGGAGGGAAATCCCGGTGATGAACAAATGGAAATGGGACATAGTTAAAAGCCATATCTATGTAGATAACATGAATCAAATTAGGTTGTGGACTGATGTCTTGCTATTTTACCAGAAAATGGATAACGGACAATTCGCCAAGCTTCTTGATGACAACAAACTTAAAGGCCCTAATTACGCTGACTGGTACCGTAACCTCATGCTGGTACTGACTTCTGAAAAATTGGATAAAGTTGCCAAAAACCCCGCCTCGAAGCCTCCGGGTGATCGAGCTTCTGAGGCCCGCAGAAGGGACTACCTTGAGTGGGAGGAAAAGAAACTCCCTAGCCCGCTGCTATATCATAGCTTCTCTGGACAACCCAATACAGAGGCAATTCAATCATATCGAATTGGCCAAGGACATATTGGACAGTCTTAAAACTATGTACGAAGAGCAGAATCGTTCTACTCGGCAGAAGGTCTTGAAGCAGTTCATGACCGCTCAAATGAACAAGGGACAGCAAGTGCATGACCATTGTCTTTGGATGATGGGATACATAAATGAGCTGGAAGCCTTAGGGTCTGGGCTAGACCACATCACCAAGGTAGACGCCATTCTGAATTCTATGCCTCCGTCCTACAATCAGTTTATCATGAATTATAACATGAATAAGTTGAACGTCAGCTTATATGAGCTCCGCAATATGTTGCAACAAGCTGAGGAACTGATTCATAAGGATGAGTCTGTCACCATGCTTATGGAAGCAAGCAAGTGTTGCAAGAAGAGGAGGTCGAAGAAGAAACCCCAGAAAAAGGGCAACAAATCCAAGAAACAGAAGAAAGACAGGGCATCCGATGCCTGTCACCATTGTCACCAGACCAGCCACTAGAGAAGGAACTGTCCTGACTACCTGGAATCCAAGAAAGGTAATCCTGAATCCTATGTCATAGAAACCAATTTGTTGGTTACTTCTGCTTCCTGGTGTATTGACTCTAGGGCTTCGACTCATGCATATAATACATTGTAGGGTTTTAGAATAAGTAGAAGATTGAGGGAGAGGTGACGCTCTTCTTGGGAACTTCTGCAAGCGTTGCAGCTGCGGCCATCGGAACCGTATAATTTTTTTTTAGAGAATGATCACTTGTACTTAAAGATTGTCTTTATGTACAGAATTTAAGAAGAATTTTGATTTCTGTCTCAAAATTGTGTGCTGATGGAGATTCTGTTTTCTTTAGTAATACGATTACTATTAAAAGAAATAACAAATTCATCGCATACAGGGAACTGGAGAACGGTCTCTATGTTCTACATCATTCTCTAGAAACCAACATAGCCGAAACTACGTTGATTGACGTTCCCAAGAAAACTTGTGATACCATTAGTCCCACGTGCCTGTGGCATTACCGTCTTGGCCATATCGGTATTAACCGAATCACAAGGTTGGTAAAGGGTGGCCATTTGGATTTTCTAATTGTAGAAGATCTTCCCACTTGTGAGCCTTCCCTTCGTGGTAATATGACAAAACGGCCATTCGGCGGCAAGCCTGAAAGATGTACGGGCACACTTGACCTTACTTGATATGGTCCGGTCACTTCTCGCACACTCGGAGTTGCCCACATCCTTTTGGGGATACACATTAGAGACTACGATTTACGTGTTGAATAGGGTTCCAACCAAATCAGTTTCGAGCACTCCATATGAACTTTGGAGTAGAAAGAAACCAAGTGTCAAACACTTGAAGATTTAGGGTTATCCAGCACATGTTAAAAGAACAAGCCCGGACAAATTGGAATCCCGAACCAGCCGTTGCCTATTTGTAGGCTACCCCAAAAGCTTTATGGGCTATCTATTCTATGACCCAGGAGAACAGAAGGTGTTCTATAGTCGGAATGCCCATTTCTTGGAGGAGGATTACATCTTGAACAATCATCGTCAGGAAGTTGTTCTTGATGAGGAGAGCTTAGGAGTAGTGGGAGATGTCCCACATGTTCCAGGTAGTGACCAACCTAGAAGATCTACCCGGGTATCCGGGCCACTAGTCCGTTATGGTTATGACTAGGATAATTACCTGGTGGAAGCCTTGACTAGTGAGGAGGATCCCGTGACTTACTCAGAAGCTATGTTGGACATAGATCCCCAGAAAGTGGGTAGATGCCATGAGAGCTGAGATGGACTCAATGGAGGCCAATGGAGTCTGGACTCTAGTAGATCTGCCTGTTGGGGTAAAAGCAATTGGTTGCAAATGGATCTATAAGAGGAAGAAGGGCCCCGATGGCAATGTTGAGACCTACAGGGCTCGCTTGGTGGCGAAAGGGTATACTCAGAAAGAGGACATCAATTATGAGGAAACATTTTCGTTCGTGGCCATGCTTAAATCCATTAGGATCCTACTAGTTGTAACAACATACCATGACTACGAGATTTGGCAAATGGATGTCAAAACCGTGTTCCTGAATGGAGATCTTACTGAAGATATCTACATGCAGCAGCCGCAAGGCTTCATTGCTGCTGGTCAGGAACACATGGTATGTAAACTTAATAGATCCATATATGGACTTAAGCAAGCTTCTAGGAGTTGGAACATTCGGTTTGATTCTGCCGTCAAAATGTTTGTTTTTGAGCAGAACCCTGATGAGCCCTCTATATACAGGAAATCTAGTGGGGATAAGGTTACGTTCTTGTTTCTGTATGTAGATGATATCCTATGCATTGGGAATGATGTGAGAATGTTGACCTCAGTCAAAGTATGGATTTCACAGCAATTCTCCATGAAAGATATTGGAGAAGCGTCTTATATACTGGGTCTTCGACTCTATAGAGATAGATCGAAGCGGATAATAGGATTATCCCAATCTACTTACATTGACAAAATCGTCAAAAGGTACAGCATGGAGAACTCCAAGAAGGGAATCGTTCCTTTTAGGCACGAAGTTACTCTCTCCAAGAAGATGTCTCCCAAGACATCTGAGGAGATCGAGGACATGAAGAATGTTCCCTATGCCTCACTCGTGGGGAGCATCATGCATGCCATGCTGTGCACTCGCTCCGATATTGCTCACGCGGTGAGTATAGTAAGCAGATTTCAGGCCAACCCAAGGCAGGAGCATTGGACCGCTGTGAGTCAAATATGTACTTTATTCATTTACAATAAATGTGTCTAGTTTAAGGGTATTACACAGAAACACACCATAATAACATGAATCAAATATATACTTTATTCATTTACAATAAATGTCATAATGTACATTATGCTGATTGGAGCTAAGGGCATACACTATCTAACAATTTCAAGAAGCCATTTGACCAATATTTTGATGCTATGCTTGTCTTACAACTAGTATGGGAACCAATGGATTATTAGTTTGTATAAATAGTTTGATGCTATGCTTATCTTGCAATAATTTTTTATTTCATTTGTTTAAATATTATTTTTTAAACATTTTTATCAATACAAATAATATTTTTTTTAATTATTTTATTACCATTTTTGTTGAGATTAATATTTTTTTAGTTAATATTCAATTACCAAACCTTTTTTCAAGTTGTTTATAATATAAATTATAAAAATTAGACATTTATGATCGGCTATGTAGATTACTTCATAAACTGTACATGAGATACATGGAATAAAAAAATGTGGTGTGGATTACTCCACACCATGCCTACAGAATGCCACTATGGGTGTGGACTGATCCAGTCCACACAGTTTGTCCACAGTTCAGAATAGTTGTAAACTGTGGTATGGTGTGGATTGGTCCCTACCACGGGGCGTGGTGTGGATCAGTCCACACCACTCAATTTCTCATCCATAGTACAAAACACCCCCTAAATGAGCATTTGATAAATATTTTGACAACTATCAAAAGTGGGTATTAATCTTTTCCAAGGATAGGCTTAGAATATTTTAGGAAAAATTCCCGATTAGTACCCTGTACTTTGGGCCTAGTGCCACTTTCGTCCCCGAACTTTAAAATGTGACAATTCAGTACCTGAACTTTTAAAATATGATAATCCAATACCTAGTGTTAACTAGCAATTAACCAACCATTAAGTGGCATTTGAAAAAGATACAAATGCCCTTCGAGTGTCATCTAGTTTTCTTTATCAACCATCCAAACATTGACAAAAAAGTAACAGTCTCATATCCTTACCTCTCCTATTCAAGAAAGTTGGGGTCACTAAAATGCCCACTCAAACGTGACCCCAACTTTTTTGGATGGAAAAGGCAAGGATTTGGGATTGTTAATTTTTTGTCAATGCTTAGATGGTTGATGAAGAAAATTAAATAACACTTAAAGGGCATTTTGTGTTTTTTTCAAATGCCACTTAACGACTGGTTAACAACTTGTTAACGGTAGGTACTAGATTATCACGTTTTAAAAGTTTGGGTACTGAACTGTCGCATTTTAAAGTTCAGGGACCAAAGTGACAGTAGGCCCAAAGTACAGGATACTAATCGGGAAATTTCCCAATATTTGAAGGGACAAGTGTTAAAAAAGTTTCTAAGTGCTCATTTAACATGTTTACTACGTTGTGCCTAGGGGTGGATTTGAGCCAAGTCGAGCCGAATACTACTAGGCTCGAGTTTGGCTCGAGACTGTTCTACAAGGCTTGAGTAAAAAATTCATAAGCTCGAGATCGACTCGACTCGAGCTCAATTTTGAGAAAAATATTTTATAAAAATAAAAAATTATATATAAAAATATTTTTTATTTGATATTTAAAAATTAAGAATTATAATAATTAATAATTATAATATTTTTATTATATATATTATTATATTAAATATCAAATATATATATATATATATATTCGAACCGACTCGCGAATCTCATGAACCGATTTCTAATAGACTCGAACTTGACTTGTTTAATAATCGAGCAAGTAAATTAGGCTCGAGCTCAAACTCAAACTCGGTTGAAACCGAGCCTAACTGAATTTTTATGAACTGAGCTCGAAAAGCTCATGGAAAACTAGGCTCGTTACCACCCGTAGTTGTGCCTACTGCCTACCTCATCGAAACTGATTTCTATCTTAACTGGGATACTTTTCCTTCTGAATATTCAGTTAAATTTGGTCTGGGCCTGATGATGATCGGGTTAAATGCGTTTTCCAGTTCGTTGGGACGGGTGCAGAACAGTACAAGATATTCAGATAACCGGGTATGAACACCATTACAGAAGATGACGTAGGCAATGAGATGTTCAAATTTGTCAAAAATCAGCTTTAAGATTTGGGTGAATGACAAGAGTCCGGATCACATGCAAACAATATACATTCCAACAACTAGCCATATCATACCGCACGTCTTATATATGGCGGGTCCTACTTTCATGGTGTCTCCAAGCGATGAGATGTGCCGTGTTAGATCAATTTGGCAGGGTTTGGAACGTATTTAAATCCGAGACCGAATCTGCATCTCACACCTGGCGTTTTACAAGCGCCTTACACGCACATCCTATCATGCATTGAAAACATCTCTCATACTTATTTATTATTATTCATAGAGATGTTCTCAATGCACGCGGTGGATGTATCTGTAAGGCGTGTGAGGAGCAGATTCCGCCACTTTGGAACCGAAGGGGGGAGTAATACAGTCTACGGAGAGCGTAATCCTCAATCCACAATCACATCTCACGATCAGGACACAAAGCAAACCCTCTGCGTCCGGATCCGACGGATTTTAGTTATCCACGTAGCAAGTCAAAAGTGTCTTGTAAAACACGCAAACTAGAGCTGACTTCTGACCATTTCGCTTCCTCTATCTCCTATTCTTCACTTACAAGATGAACAATCTCGAAGATCCAACAACACTATTGTTACTTAGTGAAATTACTAAAAACCCTAGTTGGTGAGAAATTCTAATTTGAATCCCGTGTCTATTTTATAGATAGCTCGGTTCAAACGTGCTAATTCGAAAAAGTTGTGTTTGGGAGGGTTTTCTAGTAGGCTCCACACGAGAACGCCATCAAAAACTAATATGGGCTTTTTGAACATCCAAATCACTGTTAAAATATTAAGTTATTAAGACTGAATAATTTTTCCGAATACCGGTGCTCAACCACCACAGCTCGATTAACCTAACACACTCCAAATGCATATGCCCTCTTATAGGGCTCATAACCCGCAAGATGAAATATTTAGGGTCCGTTTGGTTTTTAATTGGAATCAGACTCGGAATTGGAATCAAAATACTTTAGAATCAAAATCAGAATGGTCCATTTCTATAGTTGTTTAGTTTAGACAAGAATGTAAATGAGAATTAAAATCAGCAGGAATGGAATTTCATTCCCAAGGGAAGGGCAGGGAATGGCCATTCCCTCGAATGGAAGAATGGCATTTCAGCAGAAATGGGAATGACATTCCGATTCCATCCCATCAAACAGTTGGAATCGGAATAGCCCATTCTGATTCCAACTCCAAACCCCTATTATTGCAAATCAAATGGATCCTAAAACTATTAATAATAAATAGAGGAAATTTCTGATTAATATTTTGTACTTTGAGTCTAGTGCCACTTTATTCTCCAAACCTTAAAACACAATAATTTAATATCAATTGTTAATTAGTCGTTAAGTGGCATTTGAAAAAAATACAAATATCTTTAGAGTGCTATCTAATTTTCTTTACCAGTTATCCAAATATTAATAAAAAATGAACAGTCCCAAATCAATGCCTCATTTACTCAAGAAAGTTGGAGTCACCAGAATATTCATTGAAACATGACCCCAACTTTCTTGAATAGAAGAGGTAAGGATTTGGAATTATTCATTTTTATCAACGTTTTGATGATTGATAAAGAAAATTAGATAACAGTTGAAATACATTTATATTTTTTCAAATGTCACTTAATGATGGATTAATAGTAAGTACTAAATTGGTATGTTTTGAAAATTCAGATATTAAATTATCTCCGTGCTAAATAAATTAATATATATTGGAAAAAATAAAAGCATTTGATGTCTCCATAAATATACTGAATTTCGGTATGTTAATTTACGATTGGCATATTGTAATTTGGAACTATTTCAGGTTGAGATTATGCCAGACCCCGAATCTGGTAGCAAAAGGACAGAATCTCACTAGATTCGGACCAAACCTTCCCAATGGGGAGAAAGCCCGGTTTACCTGTCGTGCTATTGATCCCATTTTCAGTTAGGCTCCGTTTGGGAATAATACAAATAAAGTATAAATCTTGAATCAGGATAAACATGTACTCTGGTTCAGTTTTATTAGAATACAATAATGCATTGACAAATGACAGAAAATACGTTCTACAATATATATTTACGTTCAAAATGAAATGTAAAATATACATTATAAAAAATAAATAAATTTGCATTCAATGTGGGTTTTTATTAAAAAAGGAATATTTTTTATTGGGATTCATTTTGCAATCATTACAGTTAAAAATTTGTTTGATAAGAGGTAAATTTGTTTATACATTTGCATCCACACTTTGCAAAGAGGTAAATTAACCCAACTTTGCATTTACATGAATTATTTTACACTTTGCAAACTGCAATCTGCACGTTTGCATCCACACTTTATTTGCATCGTTCCCAAACGGAGCCTTAAGAATTAGAAGAGATACGGCAAGCAACATAGAGAGAAAGACAAAAGAATACCCTACGAAAGTTCCAGCACTGGGCACAGCAGTTGAAGAAAGCAAAGCTTCGGTCGTTTCCCTCCTTCGACCATGGGGTCACTTTCGCTCCTTCCTTCTATAAAAGGACGCAAGCATTCTTCCGTCTCCTAGTCCTATAAACGGACAGTTGAATTTCAAAAACCTCTTTCAAGTTTAACAATTCGGCGTTATTTCTAGGGCTCAAAACTGACCAGAGGCCTGTACCCAGAAAATGAGAAGCAGCTTTTCTTTTCTCGGAGCCCGAATCTCCATCTCCACTGTGTTATAGGCCTCGAGCTTTCAATTCCTTAGCTTTGTTTTGTTACTGGCGCTTTTTATTTATCTCTGCTTATCTCTAAGGATTCCAAAGCAATGCCGACTTTTCCAGCAATTGCTTTGGAAAGATTACTGGAACCTAGTCCGCGAGATCCTCCTAGAACCACCTCCCTCTCTCTCAAGCAAGACAACTGCAATAACAAGAACGGGAACAGCAACGCTGACAGAACCATCAATGGCTCTGATGCGAAGAAACCGCCCCCCAGGCATATCTACATAACCCCTGCTCTGTACACGACTCCAGAGCCCGCTCCAATTCCAGTTTCTTCTTCTGCTTCGATTTCGCCTTCACCTTACGTTGTCAACCGGAAACGTCGTGATCTCCGGGTTCCAGACGCCGTGAGTCGGCTTGATGGGTTCGAAATTCGGCAGAAGCCGAAAGAAGAGGGGGATTCCGGTGGACTTGGTGGCGGCGGCAAAAGCAGCCTAGTGAAGCCCGTGGGTGAAGTGTCTATTAATGACCCACTTGTTGAAATCGAAGAAGAAGGAGAAGAGATGAAACAAGAAGGGTGTGAAAGTCTTACGAATGTGGAGATTGCTGCGGGTGTACAAGTATTGGATGAGGGGAGTGCTGCTGTGAGCAATGATGCTTGTGATGATTTCTTTGATCCCCGAGATTCGATGAGTGTTGCAAGCTGTAGCGAAACGGAGGATGTGCAACAACTTGCTGGGAGGCACACTCCAGTGGCTAACCAAAGCGTGTTTTATGATGCTGATGAAGGTAGGACTTAACTGATTCGATAGATAATGTTTTTTCAATGTTTCATCATATTCTTCATTGTCTTCTTGAGGATTACATGCTAATGGATGGAAAGATTGCCCTAGAAACTATACATAGTATGAAGTATATTAGTTTGTAAAAGCCACTGCTTCCTTTCCAATTGGATGATCATAGTCAGTTATCTTAGTATATACAGTGTTATCAATGGGGTGAAGCAATGTCTAGTCGTTTTGTCCTCTCTAGATGTAACGACCAGTTGGTGCCTAGGTGTTGGTCATGGTCGTTAAGGCCCCAAGACGAAGCTAGGGAGCAGGGAAAACCTAGTCTTGTTGGCAGTGGATTATTTATTTATTTTTTTGTTCAATAAATCTGGCCTACTATCTCATTAAACTGAATTTTGATAGTAGTCAAGGCAATCCAGGAGTGTCGAAAATTGGGGAATATCGAGGAATTGTTATGGTGTAGCTATGTCTTAATTCTCTAGGCCTGTATAGGATATGGTGATTCTACAAGGACTGAACTGCTAGCACCTAGCAGTACTACAAGGCTTAAGATTGTCTAAGTCATTAAGCATCACGGACTTGGTGGTGTAAGTGGATTCAAAGGTGGTAGTATGATGGCTCAGAAACACCACCACCACCTCTTGGAAAAGCAGATGCATCTTGTAGGAAGCAAAGACTTCTGTGGAGATAAGAGCTGCATATAAATAGAAATAGAGAAACAAGGGGGTGCACAGAACCATGCTGTATTGAGGGATTGCCTCTCAGGACATACAGCATTCTTTTATTAAACATAATAAAAGTTTTGATCCCTGTCAATCAAAGAGTACAGGGATTCAAGTAGTACTAATGACTTATGGACTTGGACTTGTACTTGGATGGAAGACATGGCCCTGGATAAAGTTTAGTAGTGTAACAGAATTAATTGAATAAACGCTAAGCATTTTGGGATTAAGGCTTTCATAGTCTGAGCTGAGTTTTGGTGTTTCTCCTACTAGTAGTGAAGGCTTACATTGTTAAGTACCATTATATGCATGCATGTTTACACAGATAGATACAAATAATCAAGTCTTTCACTTTGCATGTTTATGCATACTTTTCAAGTTCTATATAATCAAGTCAATTTGTTAAGGGTTAAAAAACGAATTAACTAATTATGGCTGATGTCTGGCTCTGGTAGTTGATTTGTATTCTTTGTTTAGATCAGTATTCCATAGAAGTTGCATGGTTTTGTGTTGATTAAGTAGCATTTTTGGAGGATTCCCATATAATAGGTCCAATTTACTGTATTCTTTTATCTTTTTGCGTAATTTCCCCCCTAAAATGAGCTCATTCTTTACAATTTGATTCTTTCTCTCACGATTCTAAGGGTCCGTCTTAGTTTCACAATATTAGATGGTGAATATTATCTCCATGAGATAGTGAGAGTGTGATATTGGATTCATGGCATGGAAGCAAATATGATTTATATTTACCCAATATTCTCTTAATGACAAATGTGCATGTGTGTGTGTGTGTGTGTGTGTGATATTGAGTTTGTATCTGATGTATGCTCTTCAAATTTGAATATCTTACATGTAGAATTCTTCTCCGACGGATCTATTTCAAATGCATCTCCATATTTGTGCCGAAATATTGAGGCAGAACTGTGTGATGCAAGGGTCAATCTATTTGAGGAGATTGAGAGGCGGAAGAAAGCAGAGGATGCTCTTTCTCAAATGCGCAACCAGTGGCTGAGGATTAGAAAACATTTATCACAAGCAGGTTTATCAGTGCCTGTAAATTTGGATGCTGAAAATAACATGCAACTTGAGGTGGATGTGGCAGAGCAGTTATGTCAGGAAGTTGTTATTGCAAGGTATGTTTCGGAAGCAGTTGGAAGGGGTCAGGCTCGTGCTGAAACTGAAGCAATTGCAGAGGCATTGATTAAATCCAAGAACCAGGAAATTTCTCGTCTGCAGGACAGATTACAATACTATGAAACAGTTAATCATGAAATGTCTCAGAGGAATCAGGAAGGTATGGGTTACATTTCTTTCCTTGGGTTTTCTGTTCTGGAATGAGCATATCATGTTTGGGATGGGGTGTCAGATTGCCAGTAACCTTCCTTCTGGATTATAAATATTTCCTAACATCATCTCTTACTTCAATATTGATAAAAAAATCTCCTACTTAATATTTTTATTAATTTTCCATGGAATGGATATAAGCTTTATGTACATCTTCCTGTTTTGCACGGTTTTCATGGATGTGCTGGTCTGCATGCCAAAATCTGGCATTACCTAAAATATTTCTTTGCTATTTGTACGAGCATGGGGAATTCCTTGTTCATAGCATGAAGTTATGGAGATTCTTCAATGTCATAGACACACCATTTACATTTTCTGAAAAAGTTCATCCAGCCTTAATGATGAAGCTGCACAATCAATTGCCAACAACTGACTGTGTACTGCCTAATGGTCCTTGGTCCATTAGATATGCAATTAGAGAAGCAAAAGGCTCTGGCCTTATCTTTGCACCCCTTTTCAGTTTGAATACCTTATTGACTGATAACCTATATGATGCCTTTATTGGGGAAGGGGTCTCAAGGTCTGATTTGGGTTGAAGGCTCGAGGTCCAGTGTCTAATTTGTCAATTGCTGTGTGATGTTATATTATTATTTGGTAAGTGCCTTTGTTGTATTAATGATCAATTTTTTGAATGATTAAAAACCGGTGCTGTTGTATTGGTTCCTCACTTCCCAAGCATTTTTTTATTGACAAAAATGCTGAAATTATATTAAGATAAACTAGTTAGGGACCTGTGTGATGCATGGGGTTTGTTAAGCAAAATTGATGAAGGAGCTCTATGATGTTCTAAAGCTTTTTGTTCAAACAGAAAATACTGACCTATTAAGAGGAGCCACTAATTGATAATTTATGGCCGTTCTCTCAGAATTTAACACTACTTAGGCTTAGACATCAGGCATGAATAACCATGTCTTTCCCTGTTCTGGAAATTACTTAGGTTTACCATTGAGGGGAAATCCAAGGTCAAAGGTTTTCTGGTACCCAGTTTTGGAAAGATACAAAAAAAAAAAAGAGGGTGGAAAAGGAACCATATCTCACTGGGGGTAGAGTCAATGAAATCTACACTTCAAATTACCTACTAAGCTGGCAAACCAGATTGAAAAGATCATGAGAGATTTTCTTTGGGAGCCAAGCAACTCAAAAAAGGATCACTTGGTAATGGGGAGTGGTTTCAAGGAAGAAAGATAGCGTTGCTAGGAAAATGGTTATGGAGATTTTCCCAAGAGCAAGAAAGATTGTGGCACAGAATGATAGAAAGTATCCATGGATTGGCAGCTAATGGATGTGATGTTAGTCCCAACCCTAGGGCTTCTTGCTTCATGAAAAGACATTATTGGAGTACTACCTGTTTTTTCTCCTTTTTTTTATTGGAAACGGTAACTTCATTACTGTTTTTTCTCCTTTCATTAGGTATGATGCTTGCATGGGTAATAAAGTTCTTTTTTGGGAGGATATTTAGATTGGGGACACTCCTCTTAAGGACAGTTCCTAATCATCTATTCCCTTTTCTTTGAACAAATTTAAAGCCATTTCTTATTTACGTCTCTATGGGGATTCTTGGGATTTGGGCTTGAGAAGAGGTTTGGGGACTCAAAAGTGGGCATTGCTAGATAAAGTATTTATCTAGATATACAAGATCTTAAATACAAARTCTAAGACTAAATAACTCAAAAGCTTCCATTTCTATTGTTGGATTCATAATTTATCCCATGGATCTTTGGGATTGGTGAATTGTTTTATATCCCGTAGTTTCGGACCATGGGTCGAGCCAGGGATCACAACTCCTACCCATCCTGTATGTTGTCCTTTTCGTTTCGTGTTGTAATAGATTTTTTTTTTCTACGAGATTATACAAAAAATATTCTTCGTAAGGGAACAAATATTTATCTTCCTAATGATAATTTGTACAGGACATGGGAGAAACCTCTCTTTCTATTTATAATTGAAGAAGGGGTTCCCTCATATATAGCGAAGTGATACCCCGCATTCCCACAAAATAGAATCATTTCTTGTAGATGAACTTTTCTCTTTTAAATTCGGTGTTTTTGGATCAGTCTTGTCTTGATAGTAGAATTTGGTCAAAGTCCTCTTTGAGTTGTTTTCTTCCTCTTCGTTCTTTAATGCTTTGTCGTAGTCTAATAACTTGGCTATTTCTTTTCCTGTTAAAGAAGTGTGGTGTGCTCTAGGGCTTTTCGTTAGGAAGTGGTTCTCTAAAAAATCAATACTTTAGATGTGCTTCAAAGAAAGAGATCAAACTAGTGTTTATCCCCACGTCTATAGCCCTTTTTTGAATAGTGATAAGAGTGAGACAGTGAACCATCTATTAATATCATGTCCATTTGTTACTCATATTTGCAGGTGGACTCCTCCTTCGGATGTGGTGGACGTTTTCTTTGATCAATAGCAAATAACCATTAAAGATTAAACTTTTAAGTACATGAAGGGGGAGATAAACTATATTAACTCCCTGAATAGAAACTAAAGTCCACCCAAAAAGAAAATGAAAAGTACAAATAGAAATGAGCATGTGGCGGACCTTTTTGACTTGAGCTGCTTATGACAATCGAGGAAGAGGGGAAGGGTGATGTAGAGAATAATGAGAGCAGCTATTATTTGGGTGATTTTGGAAGAGAGAAATAATGGGATCTTCCAAGGGCAAGGAAAAAAATCAAAAGATGATCTTATAGAAGGAATTACCATCGAGGTCATACATTGACTGAAAACTTTGGATCTCTTCAAGGCTTCTTCTGTAGCTGACTTCTTTAGAGGCTGGAGTGCAGTAGTGGGTTCCTCTTCCTCATCTCTTGCTTCTCTATAAGTAACCCTGGTCCCCCTGGAGTTGGGGGTGTTTTTTAGAGATGTGGAAGGAAGAATTTGGCCCTTTTCTTGGATCCAATTGGGATGGGTGACACTTAGAGCAGAAGTGGCGGTGCTACTGCAAAGGCTCAGAATGGCTAAACAGTTGGGGTTTCAACAGTTAGAAGTGGAATGCAATTCAAAGTTGGTAATAGGATGGATGCATATTAATAGCTTGGGTACTTGGTCCTTTAGACAACCTGTAAAGGAAGTTATGAACCTAACAAGGGAGCTTGGAGTACAGTTTAAATGGAATACAAGGTCAGAAAATGGTTTGGCTGACACATTAGCAAAGCAAGGAGTTAATAGGGAGACTTTGTTTTGGGCATGTTTGTAAGACTTGTGTTATGAAGGGTCACCTTTCTCTTTGAAGGGTGATAGTTGTAATTTTTTTCCTTTTTAGTTAATGAAAGTTACCGTTTCCTATAAAAAAATTTAGATGATGATAATATAAAAATAATTTTTAATTTTGACACTTATTCTTGTTTAATATGATGAATATATCATTATATAAGATTTGAGATGTTCCCAAATGCTTTCTACAATATTTCTGATTTTTATTCTTTTTTTTTGTGTTTTTATGTTTTCTTCAATTTTTATTATTTAATTATGACTTCAAGGGTTAACACATTTGACCTGAAATGTTGAACCATTAACCCACAATCAAATAAGAAAACCTTTCATTTTTGGAGGTTTTAAATTTTGCATTTCATTTCCAGCATCAATAAAAGTAATTCTTGTTTATCAAACTTACTTTTGCTTTATTATGATTAATATAAGATATTATAGATACGCCCAAATTTTTCATACATTTTTTATTTTTTGTATTTATCTCTATTTTAAAAAATATTATTTAACACATAATGGGTTACCCAAAACCAGGTTGGAAGAATGGTTTCATTTTTTGGTTGGTTTTAAAAAACATGGGTTTTATATTGTTGTATTGGATATAGATCTAATTAGAATTATTTATTGTTACAAGTAGCAGTTCAAGTTGCATGTTCTGCCCTCAAAATTAGAGAGGGACCAAAAGGGGTATTTTAATCAAAAAGAAAAGTTCCACAAGCTCATTTGCACTTTTTAACGGTAGTGTAGATATAGATATAGATTTATAAGTTATAAAATATTAAACCTTTTTAGTTTTCTTTAAAAACAATAAAGTGGACATGGATTAAATCCACATCCAATAGGATTCAGATTCAGTTTCCAGTTTTCAATAATTAGATTGGATTTAGGTGTGACTGGATCAGATCCAAACCTGACCCATCTACAGCCCTAAGTGAAACCACTTACCACTAGCTAATCTCTTGTTCCTCTATATACAATTTAGACACATCTTTATTTGGTTCTGAGTGGGCAATGCCAGTACATATTGACTTCCCTTGTGGTATTCTCCTATCACATAAGACTGGATGCACCCTACCCATTTTGCCCATCGCACTCAAATCTATGGACATCTCTCCTCAATTTCTCCGTTGTCATGGATTATTGAACCAACAACCAAGTTAATAAAAGGTGTCACATTGAGATGCCTCTTGGTCTCAAATCTTAATTGTACCTTGATTTCCACTCCATTATTATTAAATTTACATACCATGTATTCTGCTCTCACCTCTTGTTTCAAAAGGCATGAAATTTAATTTTGCATTTAATCTCTTTCTGGTTTAATCAATTAGTACTATTCCATGGATTTAAAATCTTCTTAGCATTATCTTGTTCTATATACAAATGGACTCAAAACTATTTATCTGTGTCAGCTACCAATGGAAATTCTTCTTTATTTAACATTTGTTTAGAGTAGTTTCTTCAAGTAATTTTCATGTATAATGTTGTTTATACTAGACGCTGATTGGCCACTACTGACTCAGGGTTTGGTGTGCAATCCATGTGTAATTGTTAATGTTACCATAAGGATTATTACATCCAGATTTGTCAATCTTGGTTCTGCTCATGTTTACCTTTAATGGGGCATTTTGCAGAGATAGCACGAAGGAAGCAGTACAGGAGAAAGATGCAGCGGAGATGGATATGGAGTTGCGTAGGCATGTCCATCATCCTTGGAACTTCTATGCTTGCTTACAAATGCCTTCCGCACGCTAAGAATCATTTGGCACTGACCTTGAGTGACTTCTCTGATTCTTCTCTAAACACAAAAAAACCTACCTGAGTTGTTCCTTTTCGTTTTGTGTTTGCCCTTTCAATCGTATCCTACCTACTCTGATCTGAACACAATTACGCCCCCAAGCTTTATATTGAAGCTGTGATGCTTCCAAAAGATTTCCTTAAGATATGATGTACCGTGGGCAGAGATGAACCAGAATTTTTAAGGTTGTTTAGGACTTTAGATGCTTAGACCTTTTCTGTTAGGGACTTGGGGCATGGGATTTTAGAAGTTGGTATTGGTGGTAATGTGATACTAATCCTTTGTATTTTTTTTTTTTGTGGGGGGAGAGGGGGCGTTGTAATAGGCAAATATTTCTGGGTTTGAGTAAAAAACCGAGTCGATGAATTTTTTATGGGACAGGAGCTTCTAACCTTTTTTTTTTTCCTTTTTAGCACATGAAATCTTTATCATCTTTTTCTTGAAGATATCCTCTTTTTTACTTCTTTATAAAACCTGTCATATGATTATGGTTATTGTAAGCACAAATTTATAACAAAAGGGGAAAAACAGAAAAAGAAATAAGAAGAGCGGTATGTATTCATTCTTCATCTCTTCTGTTTTACCAAAAAATGATCATGTACTCTTTCTTTCCGGATATCTGGCTATCCCTACATAGCTGCAAAATGCAATTAGGCAGTCATTAGTCTCCTCTCTGGATGGAGTATAAGAACACCTAATACGCGTGTAAACCTTGCATTGTATGTTGCTTTTTGAAATGAGGCTGGCTGGCTGTGAGTCCTGTGACATTTACATGTTTGGGTTTATAACGTATTGTGTGCTCTTATCGGTTATATGGTCTATGGAGTGTTGGAAGGTTGGTTTTTTATACCCATCTCCCAGGTGGGTAGCCTTTCCACTTAGGGGTGTCAAAAACTCAAAAATATTATCGCTGTGTTTGGTTACAATGCAAATAAATTTGCACTGATGAAAAATCATGTCTTAACACTTAGGGGTGTTAAGACATGACACAGAATAAAGTAAATTTTAAAATAAAATTAAACAATAATTTGCATTTTTTACATTTATACTCATGCATTTGTATTGGTGCAAATAAATTTGCACTGCGACCAAACACAGCTTATAGAATAAAATTGTCGAAATTTATGGGCAACAAGCCAATTGATTTTGTCGTTCAGTTGATAGGATCTTTGACTTGTTGGGAGGACTGGGGGTATTATAAAACAAAATTGTCTCTTTAACAATGAAATTTAAGGGTAAAAATTGATTTTGTCGTTCAGTTGATAGGATCTTTGACTTGTTGGGAGGACTGGGAGTATTATAAAACAAAATTGTCTCTTTAACAATGAAATTTAAGGGTAAAAATGAACAATTGTTATTGTAGATAAAATTTATGGTCAAAGTAATATGGGTAAATACGCATCAAACTAATCTACGTAAATGCATTTACTTATGAAATTAATTTATCGAAAAAGAAAATGAAGATTTGAGTGCTCAAGTCAATTGTTCCCACAAAACTCCACAATTCACCTCGCACACGAAGGGCTCATTTAAAAATCTCTGGCTAGTTTAGGCATCAAATGGTGAGCAGTGCATTTGAATTGAAGGCACTTGCCACTTGGTTAACTTTCTGTTGGTAAAGATTTCCATTCAAGCCATTTCCGGCTTCCGGGTTCCACCAAAAGAAGCAAAAGAAAATTAATAGAAAAAATTAATTACTTTTTATTAAATTATTTAAAGATACTCTATGGTTTTCACATTTAACCAATAATATTATTAGGGAAGATTAAAAGGCAAAAAATGCCCTTAACTTTTTAAAGTTTCAAGACATGCACTTGACTATTTTTCAAAACAAACAACATTCTCTTTAAAGAGTTTTAACTTTACCACATTTTTCTCTATCTAATTTTCTTTGTAAAAAAGAAATGGGTGGTGTGTTTTGACCCCAATAGGTAGTTGTTCTGCATCGTGGACAAAAAAGGGTGGGTTGATCCACACTATACCTCCATGGGTGTTCTGCAAGGTGTGGTGCATTTCAGTCCATACTTTGTGTTTGATTTCATGCATCTCAACTACAACATTTAAGATAACATATGCCATTAATAATTAATAAAATTAATAATATTAAATAACAAATAATGATATTAATGATAAACTAGATAGTTGTCTGTTAAGAAAAAGAAGAAAGAAATTAAGAAAGGAGAAAAAGGAAAGGAAGGAATGAGGGAGGGAAGGAAAGAAAGAAAGAAGAAGGCGATGTTCACCTGTAATGGTGACAGTGACGACGGTGACAATAACAGTGATGGAGCCCTCTATCTCTGATTAGAGATCTGAGATCTCGTCTCTCTCTTTCTCTGATCTCAGATTTTTTACTTCTCTTTCCCTTTAATCTCTCTCTCAAATTTCAGTGATCTTAGATTGGAGGTCGTGTCTCAATTCTCCCATCTCTCAACCTCTTTTTTTTTATAAATAATTGTAAGAAAAATTAAATGATTTTTCTTAAACTGCAAACCGTTGTCTTAGTCGAACAGTTTAGCGGTTCGACCATCCGAGTCAGCGGTTCTTTGACCAGTTCAATAGTTTTTTTTCAAAAGAATGATCAAATCTAAAAACATATCCAAATATATGACCAGTTCTTGGATCAAACAATTCGACCATCCACTTCAATTTTTAAAACAGTGGTTGATAGGATCTGTAGGAGGTTGCAGGTGTTAAGGGGAGGGGTAGGGGTGGATTCGAGCCAAATTGAACTGAATAGCTATTCGAGCTTGGTTCGAGCTAGAACCTTGAGCTCGAGCTCGGTTCAAGTCAAAAGCTTGTAAGTTTGAGCTCGACTTGAGAAAAATGTTTTATAAAAATAAAAAAAATATATATAATATTTTTTATTTGATATTTAAAAATTAAGAATTATAATAATTAATTATTATTATATATATAAATAAAATATTATTATATATATTATTTTCTATAATTTTATATTATTATTATTATGATTATTATTATTATTATTACTATTATTATTATTATTATTATTATTATTATTATTATTATTATTATTATGTAGATATCCGAGTTGGCTCGCAAGCCTCATGAGCCGAACTTTATTAGGCTTGAACTCGGCTCGATTAATAAACGAGCCTATAAATTGGACTTGAACTCGGCTCGAAGCTTGATTAAAACCGAGCCGATCCAAGCTTTTAACGGAGCTCTTCCTCGGCTCGTGGCCACCCCTAGGGAGAGGAATGGGGTATAAACCCCACCCCCTGATTGTGTAGCCCCATGAAAATGTTACTACAAATTACTAACGATATTATCAACACAAGCCCAACCTTCTATATTTGTAATGGGAGGCTGCAATGGCAATTTCTCTTCCCTCTTCTTCTAGCATCTCTACCTTTTCTGCGATACTAGAGACGAACCTTCTTATTTAGTTAATTTCTTGTCGTTCATAGAAACCTTTTCTAGCCTAAAGCATTCCCTGTGTCTCTATCTGTAGACATTACCTATTAAAGAAGAAATTTTGGAGGGAGTGTTAGATATGATTGATTTTAGAAAAAGTGGTTTTTATAGTTCATTCCACCATTAGGGTGGAATTAAGATTTCTAGGGTTGGACTGAATCCTGACCGTGAATTAATGTCAAATTCACGATAGGATGTGGTTTATAGGGAGGGGGTTGCAATTTTAGATTTCTGAGATGGATTGTAGTCAACTTATCCCTTTAGCAAAATGATATCCTTACTGATTCAACGGTGCATGGTGCAAAGGGCATGTCCTTCTCACTCCAGTTATTGGATTGAAACCAAATCTCTGACTGGGGATGATATCAACCAGAAAACCCTCTTCTTTCTCTGTTGTTCTCGACATTTGCCCATTCATGCGAGGCACTACATTGCACTAAGACTCTGTCACTTCGCTTCTTAGATCCATTTGCCGGAAAACACCCATCTCGTCATCTTCGGTAAGTCCAATAATCTCTCATCCACATCTTCTCTTTTGGTGCGAAGATCACACATCTCTCATCTTCTCCCAAGGTCCAATAATCTCTCTCTCTCTTAGGCATGAAACTTAATCTCTATATAGCTTTTCAAACCAATCACCTTCTCATGTCATTGTGAATTGTTAGTTTCGTTTGCCTGCAAAGGAGCAGTCATTACCTGCAAGAGCTTTGGGAAAACCAACCTCGAGGGCATTTCCCTTGGACATTGGTCACTTAGGGTCTGTTTGATTGCTGAGAAAATTGGATTGAGAAAGGGTGGGATGAGAAATGTTGGGATGAGAAAAGGAAAATTTATTTTCTCAGTTAGTTGTAATGTGTTTGTTTGTTGAGAAAAATTTTGTGAGAAAATCCACTTTCTAGTGTTTGTTTACTGAGAAAATTTTTGTGAGAAAACCTGTGCATGCATTCATAAAAGAAACTACTAGAAACTAAAATTGCTCTATTATTTGGACCTGTTGGTACATCAAAGAAGTTGCATTCAATAACATATTTCATTCAAAAAGTCATACACATACATCAATAAATCATTTGAATTTATCTTTAACCTGTAATTAGTTCATCAAT